ACCTTGGATGCAAAATCAACAAACAAGAAAAAAAAGTCAAACAGTGCACTGCCAAAATGGAAGATCATGGAAAAAAAGATCAGCATGCTAAGATCAGATGCAAGCAAGCTAAAACAGATGAAAGAAAAGAAGCTGAAGATCAAAAAGACCAAAGAATACCTGATCAAGAAATATCACCTAGAAACAAGAAAGATCAAAGCAGCACTGGAAATAATAAAGCAACAATTAACAGCCATACCCAAGAAGATCAGCAGATACGAAGCTTGAATTGTACACCATAGGCAGAATCTCCAATTTCAGTCGAATCAGAAACACCTTTGTCAACACCTGACAAAAAAGAAACAGTGCAGTTCTGGGTGCAGCTATGGTACAGCCCAAGAAATACAACAAGAATGCAGCGTGGATAAAGGAAGTAGAAAAAAGTAAAAAGGAAGCTGAAACGAAAGAACTTATAACAGCAGAAATGGCAGAGAAAAGGGCAAGGAAAATCAAGAACTGGTCAGCACCAGGTGAAGATGAACTGCATGGTTTTTGGTTGAAACATCTGACTGGTTTGCACCCACTCATCACCAAGCAGTTTAACAACATACTGCAAGGACGTGAAATTGAAGATTGGATAACATCTGGCAAAACCTACCTGATAATGAAAGAGCCAACAAAAGGGGCAGCACCAGGCAAGTACAGGCCAATTACCTGACTACCAACAACTTTCACGTTGCTATCTGGTGTTGTGGCTGATGCAGTCCAACAGCATCTAGCTGAAAACAAGCTCTTTCCATCTGAGCAGAAAGGAAACCGCCCAGATCTTTGGAAACTGCTTATGAAAGATATTGGCAATATCACAATTTAGGGCAAAGGAGAATACTCGAAAGGTCAAACTGACCTAGAAATAAAGCATGGCATTTTTAATAAGAGTAACATACTCCGAGTCGGAATTAGACGTCATCTAGTGCAATCTCCTAGATGTGGTCAGTGACAAGCTGAACACGAGGTAGCAGTGTAAGGCGACGGCTAGCAGGGCTAACCCAGTTTGCGGCTACATTGGAAGAGGTGCTTTATCAAAGACGCATGAAGCCCTTATTCTCTCCTGTACTCTGCACTGGCGAGACCACTCCTGAGTACTGTGTATAATGCTAGAAATCGCCTTCCAGAAGGATATTGGCAGGTTTGAAAGGAAGGAGACAGAAATGATGCAGGGACTTGAAGGCAAGCCCCATGAGGATAGACTGAAGGAATTTCAAGTTTGGAAGACAGACAAGTGAAGGGACAACACCGCGTTATCGGTGTTGAGATACATAGAAGGGCACAATATGGAAGATGGCAAAGAAATATTTTCCACTGCCACAAAAACTAGGACCAGAAATAATGGGTATAACTTGCAGCTACATGGATTTTGTTGGAATACAATGAAAAACTTCCTCACTGGAAGATCTGTACAACAGTGGAACAGTCTACCTCGAGAGGTTGCAAGTTCCCATCTTAGTAGGATTTAAGGAAGAGATTGGACGGCCACCTTTTAAGGATGGTTTAATTGGTTTGTATACACATTACAGAGAATTGAATTAGATGATCCTTGGGGTCCCTTCCAACTCCACAATTATACAATTCTATGGAGACCTCTAGCAAAGAATTTCTTATCACCATTGATTCCCCATTTTTAAAATCTATTTCATAATTTTTAGAAAATACATAAGTAGAATTTTACTGTGATGCAACATGCAGAGTACAGGCTGTCCACAAGTGCAATTTTATTTTTTATGTTTATTACACAAAAGTAACAGTGGACTATACTTTTGTCCCCTCAACCCTGTCAACATACCTCCAAATGTAATCCACGACAGATGGTTATTCTTTTATAAAATACACTGCAGATTAGAAACATAAAGATGAGCTTCTGTTGAACTCACACGGGCTAAGAGATCCACAGTAGAACCTGCCTGACTCTAAAATCTAGGCATCTGTCACTTCTTTCAATGATGCACAGTGGCTTTGAAATCTTCCTATTCAAAAAGAACACCAGGTGAAGGAAGACTCAGCTAGATGAAGATCCATGATCACACTGCTCCCTTTCCATAGCAACAAGGAAAGCCTTTGAGTTTAGAGTGAAGTCACAATCCCCCTCTCATTGCCAATTATTCAGAGCCCACTTGATGGCAAGTGAAGCCAAGTAGGAGAAGACTAGCAGTTGTCCAGTTGTTACTGGAAGGTTCTTGCAGTATCTTCAAAGTTCAAAGAAAGGATTGGACCTATCCAGAATTGGTCAAGATTTCACCAGCTTTCACAGCAATTCACTCTACATTGCAATGTAGGGTATAGTAGATGGCGTGGCTAAGGGCAAAGGCAATAAACTCACTTTGCCTGATGACCAAATAGATTCTGCATTAGCAAGTGGGTATGGGGGAACTTCTTGCTCCTAATATACTTTCCCACTATATACAGCTCACTAATTATGTAGCTGAGCACTCACACATATGCATCTTATGACTGAAAGCTATTTTAAAGCATTTTAACATTAGAGGCAGTTTGAGTAGTAGCAGCAGGAATGATGGGAAGGTTCAACTCTGTTTTCTTCCAAAATTTCTGACTTTTCATAAGCCTGGTATTTCCTGTTGGTCTCTCAATCAAGTACTAACCTGGTCTAACCATCTTTAGCTTTTTGAAATCAGTGAAATCAAATGCACAGGTACAGGACTTGGCTTATTAATAGTACTTGGAATAACGGCTGATTGCAAATTTATCCTGGAAACCAATTATCTTTTCCATATCAGAAAGAAAAGGACGTACTGGAACCATATCTATGTTTTTAGACATTTTTAATTCAACATATTGCAATATATTTTGAAAAAATTATAAACCCTGGTATTTTATGGTGTTCATACAGATTGTAAACCCCCATTTCTTACAATAATCTATAAGTAGTTTAGATCCCAAAAGAAGCAAATTATACTTTTTCCTGTTAATAGTATAACCAGAAGATAAATCTTATTGCTTCAGAGCCTCAGTAACCTTTAGGAATGACACAGAATAATTATCCAAATAGCCATGATAGAAATAGATAGAAATAGTTTATATTCAATAACTACTGCCACAATACCCTTAATATCTTGAGACTATCTAATAAAAGAAGCAAAAGGCTCAAGATGTCCTGCTTCAGGTTTCAACCATGCACACTTACACACAATTGCTTATGGAGTTTAGCAATTTTACTCCAAGGCTGAAGAGATAATGGTGAACAAAGGTACATAAACAAAACTGAGGCTTGCCTGAAGAGTTTGCTTTCTAAATAGGAGCATGCAGAAGAGTAGTCCAAATCCAGGATTCCAACAACCAGGTCAGGGTTGTCAGCCAGTCCAGAGATCAGGGGTTCAAGAATTCAAACACAAACAGGATTTGCAGGAACATTACATAACAGCCAGAGGTCAGACATCGTTTCTAGCAAAGAGAGCAGGGCTCAGAGCTGCTTCTTAAATATGGCTGCAGCCAGCTGTCACTAATCAGGAGATTTACTCCCTTGCTTGGCGAGGAGCCTCATAGACCTTCGCTGCTCTGCTCTCTTCTCTACTAGTTGGGTGCCAGGGCTGGGAGGCCTTACGTCATCCTCATCTGACTGCTCCAGCTGCTCAGGTGGTGCCTGTGTTTGATCAGCCTCAGGTGATTCCTGGCTTGGTCTCTCCTGAGGCTGATGTTCCACAGGCTCAGCTGGAGCAGCTTCTTCAGCATCAGATTCAGAATCTGAGTCCTGAGCTTGGGCCATGACACAAGAGCCAAGTTAAAAAATAATGTTCTATACTTTACATAACTCATCTGTAGGTCTTGAGCCTTTACCCATCTATTCCAATTGTACAAGACTGAAATCTCTAAATCTTTTTTTTCCTGACATGATGGCAATTATAGATCCAAAGGTAGAAGGCCTATTGGTAGAACCCATTTTATATATATACACCCACACCCACACTTCTTAATTTATTCCACAAAAGAAAGATTTCTTGTTAAGGCAGTATCCAGATATCATCTGGGATTGACTGATTTGTAATTTTTAAGTTTCAAAGTCATTGGAACATGGAGTGAAATTGCATTTGGACCAAATGAAAAGTTCACAACTTGATCTACCAAAGGAGGAGAGAGAGAGAAAGAAAAGCAATCTAATCTAAAACAATTTGGTGTGCACAAGAGAGTTATGCCTCCAAACAGACATAAGATTTCTCAAGGTCAGGCTCCAGACATTACAAGAGAAAGAAATGGCCCATTGATATGTTGTAGTCTCCAAAATTCCTTATGGGAGAAAATTATAAACTAGCATTAAACGGGAGGAGGAACAAGCCTGGAGGATACGGTTACCATCATATTGGAGGATAGAAATATCTTACCCTAGAAACAGACATATTTTAACTTAGCGGAAAATGTTATGAAGAAGACGTTGTCTCCCACAAGGCATAGACAGCTTTATTTTTTCCCACTATCCTTCTGATTTAAAAAAAAAAATCTAGAAAGGAAACGTGGAGGAGCATTTTTTTTAAACTACAGTTCTACTTGCCAAGAGAGAATCTAGGAATTAAAGGACCCAGGATAGGAGTTCTGTTCTCATGGGAAGCACATATTTGCATACCGCTTAATGGACAGCTTAACTCATACCACTGTACGGTTTTTAAATCCAACAAAGTTGCCTGTTTCCCAGTAGGGACAAACTAAAGGGGTGGTTCTCTCTCTACAGTAACAATGGAAATGAAGGTCTTTTCAATTCAAAACAGATGTTCATCCTAGATATGACATGGTAAGAAATAGTACAGAACAGTAAAGTAAAAATAGTTATGATGTTCAGCTGCTTTCTTTTTTTTATGGAAGAGGACAGAAGAGTTCTTGAAGGGAATTCTGGGGATCTCTTTGGATCAAGTTGCACCCAGGCTTGTCTAAGCATCAGAGAATTTTAGGATTCAAGTGGCTGTGACAGCCTTAATGCCAATCTGGCAATCAGTGATAGGCATGGGAAGATAGATTAGAAGAAATGGAGTGATATACAGAAGAACATGAGATAATTGAGGCAGAAGACTCCCCATTTGGAATTTGAAGAATTCCACATTTATATGCCACCAACACCATATATTAAATATGAACATTTGATTATGCATGCCATGATACAATTTCTGGTATGGAAATTAGCGCAATACTTACCAAGGCAAAGACATTTCATCAAGATTTAGCTTGTTGGCTTTGAGAAGCACTGTTACCTGGAATTTTAGGCTTCATTATTAGCTTTTTAATAAAGGTGATATTAGCATTTTTGCACTGCATCCATGCCTCCTTTTGAAGTTCAGGCCAAAACCATTTCTTTCTTTTACATACCAGAACTTGCCTTTTCATCAACTAAACAATACAGAGTGTATTCTGAAAAGTCCTTAAATACACTTGCCAGTTTTAAAGATGCAAACCCAGAGTGACATAACCCATAAATTTGCCACTTGTGGAATGTCATCTGGAATCAATGTTTTCTATTGTTCAATTCTCATGTATAATCAATGTCTTTTATTGTTTGATTACTCGCTTTATGACGTATCACATGCACCAAATGTATGTATTGTTTGTTTCTATACCCTATAAAAAAGACTTGACCTCCCCCAATAAATGCTTTTTGCTTTGCCTGAATTACTGGGTGGTTTGTATTTTCAGGTGGGCTAAGAACCCACCTTTGCAAAGGTAAAATTGTTTTCTCTCCCAAATTCAGCAAATAGGTCTTCAGCTCCATGCCATTCGGGGTACCTGAGTTTTAAAGGCAACAGCACCACCTCCACGACTGGCTTGGTGAAAGTCTTTGTGCAGTCTTTTCTTACCATGCTAGTTTCTACTTTGCAAATGTTGCTGTTGGTACTGGGCAAGACCTTGATTGAGTTATCCTCTGCTGGGTTCAATTTGGCTTGGTTCAGGCAGCTGCCATCTTTCTCAAGGAGAAGACTCAATTTCACCAGAATGCTGTTATGAAATACTACCTTCTTCCCTTCTCTGGTATGCTTGACCTCTGTTAGATATGCCTCCCCTGCATGCTGCACAAGTTTGCCTTCTTTCTAAAGTCTTACCTCTGGCATAATAGATTTGGAGCACTGGTACCACAAGGGACCTTCTCTGGAGATGTTAGCTGGAAATGCTGGATAGGGTAGTTGTGTTACTTTCTGCCACAGCCCCAATCATTTATAGGAATACTTGAAACAATACTTCTAAAAGGGTGTTACTTGTCTGTACAGAGGTAATTTCTTAGTGAACTCTGGCATCCTGGCCCCTGGTCTGGACTAGGAGCACGTGGTACTTTCTCTGCTCAGATGACGCAGCATCTGGTTTTGCAGGACGGTGGTCCCGCTAGCCTTGCAGCTGTATTAGGGGACGTGATTCGCCCAAGTGGTCATTGTGGGGTCCAAGATGGGTCTTTCTGGAGGGCTCTGGATGCAGAGCAGTCCTCTTTCACAGCAGGAGCAGCTGTTCACCACCTCGCTGGGTAGGCAGGCAGGCCTGAGGGTGGGGTCTGCGCCGGCCTCCCATCCCATGGCCTAGGCAAGGTCGAGCGCGAGGGGCGCGGCCTGGGGGCCCCTGAGGCGACAGGCCCCCGGGAGCAGGAGCCGGCCGGGCGTCGCATCTCG